ATTTTAATTATTTACATTAGTTAAATTGTTCGGACTGTTGTTCTCATCTTTATTCACATGTTCACGACGTTACGGCTGTTGTACGCTCCAGCCTTCTTCAGGATCTGTCTACATTTCTGAGATGAGGTATTGTAATTATTTACATTATTCGGACTGTTGTCCTCATCTTTATTGTCATATTCACAATGTTACGGCTGTTGTAGCTCCAGCCTTCTTCAGGATCTGTCTATATTTCTGAGATGAGGTATTGTAATTATTTACATTATTTACATTGTTCGGACTGTTGTCCTAATCTTTGTTGTTATATTAGTCAAGGACACATGACCCGGTGGATAAAAGCGTTGGTTGGATCCAGTGATTTGACTCAAAGAGTTCAATGCCTGGCTGCTGCAGTGGTGAACACAAACTTTGGGAGTTGAGTTAAAGAGAGATAACTGAGACATTCAAAGTGACATGGGACGTGGAACTAGAACTATCTACACTGGTGAACAAAATAAAGGGCTCAGTTCGAAATTCCAACCACCTGAAGAAGGCTGGAGCGTACAGCGGCCGAAACGTTGTGACAATAAAGATGGGGAGAGCAGTCAGAACAATGTTAATATTGTAAATGAAGTAAAAGTTACTAGAATTGAACATATTTTTTTGCCAGTAGAAATCCTTCAAAAAAACGATCCACTAGATAAAAAGTGTGACAATAATCAATTAATTAATAAATCTTCAAGGCATTGTAATTCATCACCCACAAGGACGCGTAGATTGGCAGGCGATGTCTAGGGAGCTCCGACCCAAATATGGCATCAATATCTCTTTAAGGTGTAATTTTTAAGGAAGTCATGATTTATCAAAGGCATTATATGAGAAACCGTAAAAAAAAGCCGGTTAGATACGACAGTTATAGAATTGGGAATTGCCCAGGTGTTGATTTAGTCAATGTTTTCACACCTCATCCCTGCGGAGGTGCCTGGAAAGAATCAGGAATTTTGTTTAGGCGACAGGAAATGTGGTAGACAGAAGGGAATTAATCTTTCTCAAGAGCATTAGTGAGTCGTGAAAAGTAGACAGCTGAAATTCAAACAGGTTTACCCTGGTCCGTTTTCTCTTGTTTGATAAATGTGACACAACCACACAACAGAATTCCTTACTAAATAGCTCTGCCTGTTTCTCATACAGTCTCTTTCTCCCTTTCAATATCTATCTATCTTTCTTTCTCCCATTCAATATCTATCTATCTATCTTTCTTTCTCCCTTTCAATATCTATCTATCTTTCTTTCTCCCTTTCAATATCTATCTATCTATCTATCTATCAATCTATCTATCTTTCTATGAGTCTATAAAATACCTACCAATCTATCTATCTTTCTGTATCAGAGATTATACAATATTTATCTCATTCTTAACAATTCTATCTCATTCTATCCACATCTATCTATCTATCTATCTATCTATCTATCTATCTATCTATCTATCTATCTATCTATCTCTTTCAGTCTCTTAGTATATACAATATCTATCTATCTATCTATCTATCTAGTTATCTATCTCAGATTATATACAATATCTATCTATCTATCTCTTTCAGTCTCTTAGTATATACAGTATCTATCTATCTATCTATCTATCATTATCTATCTCAGATTATATACTCTATCTATCTATTTCATTCTTATCAATCTATCTATTTCATTCTATCTATCTATCTATCTATCTCAGTCTATTCAAATCTATCTGAGATTATATACAATATCTATCTATCTATCTATCTATCTTTCAGTCTCTTATCTATATACAATATCTCTATCTATCTATCTATCTAGTTATCTATCTCAGATTATATACAATATCTATCTATCTCTTTCAGTCTCTTAGTATATACAATATCTATCCATCTATCTATCTATCTATCTAGTTATCTATCTCAGATTATATACAATATCTATCTATCTATTTCATTCTTACCAATTCTATCTATTTCATTCTATCTATCTATCTATCTATCTATCTCAGTCTATTCAAATCTATCTGAGATTATATACAATATCTATCTATCTATCTATCTATCTCTTTCAGTCTTCTATCAATTTCATCTATCTATCTATCTATCTAGTTATCTATCTCAAATTATCTGATATTATCTATCTATCTCTTTCAGTCTCTTAGTATATACAGTATCTATCCATCTATCTATCTATCTATCTATCTATCTCAGATTATATACAATATCTATCTATCTATTTCTTTTCACCAATTCTATCTATTTCATTCTATCCATCATATCTATCTATCTATCTCAGTCTGAAAGAGTCATCTGAGATTATATAAAATCTATCTATCTATCTATCTATCTCTTTCAGTCTCTTAGTATATACAATATCTATCTATCTATCTATCTATCTAGTTATCTATCTCAGATTATATACAATATCTATCTATCTCTTTCAGTCTCTTAGTATATACAATATGTCCATCTATCTATCTATCTATCTAGTTATCTATCTCAGATTATATACAATATCTATCTATCTATCTATTTAATTCTTACAATTCTATCTATTTCATTCTATCTATCTATTATCTATCTCAGTCTATTCAAATCTATCTGAGATTATATACAATCTAATCGAATCTATCTATCTATCTATCTCTTTCAGTCTCTTAGTATATACAATATCTATCTATCTATCTATCTATCTATCTATCTATCTATCTATCTATCTAGTTATCTATCTCAGATTATATACAATATCTATCTATCTATCTCTTTCAGTCTCTTAGTATATACAGTATCTATCTATCTATCTATCTATCTATCTAGTTATCTATCTCAGATTATATACAATATCTATCTATCTATCTATTTCATTCTTACCAATTCTATCTATTTCATTCTATCTATCTATCTATCTATCTCAGTCTATTCAAATCTATCTGAGATTATATACAATATCTATCTATCTATCTATCTATCTATCTATCTATCTATCTATCTCAGGGTGTATACAATATCTATCTCATTCTATCCACATCTACTACATTCTATCCAAATCATATCTATTTATCTATGTGTGGGCTGAAAGAGTCAAGTAGCATAAAATGACCAGTGAAGAGACGCTTCACCTTCCGCTGAGCAAAACCGTTTCCGGTCCCTAAAAGAAAAAAACTAGCTTGTAAAAGATCGCCACCCCGATACGATTGATTCTGAAAATCCGCCATGATGTGTTTCCGGTTTCAACGGCCGGAAATGGTCTTTGGAATGATAAATTCGTGCACTCTAATCCAGGCCCTGGCTATATTTGCTTGGAAATTTCTGTTGAAAGAAGGTCACCAAGAATACAGATGATCTGAGAACGACTGGAATCGAATCAGTCAAAAGAAATACCACGCGTGTCAGTTCAATTGATCCGCCTTGTCGGATTAAACCATCTGATTCAGGCTGGACTCGGTTGTGGATGGGCAGGAACAAACTTGATTATCAGCATTTGGCTCTCGCCCGAAAGGAAGGACGACGGCAACTGATAAACTGATACACTGGGAAATGCTCAATATAGCACGATGGGTCACGCATGAATGGATAAATAATTTAGATATAAAAAGTCGTCGGCTTTATCTGGTATCCAAGAATTTAATTTCTTTGCTTATCGGTTTCTTTTATGATGATGGCAGCGTGCAGGTTCAAGACTAGAAGCTTCCAGATTTACCAAAACCGGCTCCAGTCTTCTGTTACCTATTACCGATTGCATTTGATTTGCGCTTGAATTCATGGAGTCTGGGAACCAGTGAAAGCAGCTCATCGGAGCAGTTACCATGTGAGAGAGCAACTGTAGACGAGATGCCAGATCAGGGACAATTATATTACATATCCGCCTCTGGATCTTGTCAAGAACTCCGAATTAAACAGAAGGCGCCCAGACCATATATGGCAGCAATGCTCCATATGAGGCAGGTAAACCGCCATAAGGCAAGTAGAAGTGAGGAGGTCCCAGTCGTCGTCCTGAAGAAATGTGCTCCCGAGCTGGCTCCAGTTCTCTCCAAAATCTACAACTACTGCCTCGTTGCTTCTTGCTTTCCAGCTTCTTGGAAGTCCTCCTCTGTAATTCCTGTTTTTAAGAACTTTGTAAAACCTTTTTTAAAAACTTAGTACTTTGAGTTAATATTAATAGGAACGTATTGTATCTCGTAAGTTTGATTCTAGAGATTATTGGCGGCTTTTCAAAAATGTGCTGAACAACAGCAAATCATCAATCGCTCCTCTATTCAACCAATTCGAAGTCCTGATATCAATAGCAGATAAGGTTGAATGCTTTGCTCGAAATTCTCTTCCACCTCAACACGCGACTCATTTGAAGTACCTAATTTCTCCGCTAGAATTGAGGCTCCACTGAATGATGTGGATATAAGCTTGTCATTGGTCTTAGACATCATTTCTAAATTAGACTCCCATAAAGGCAAGTGGAGGTGACAGGATCCCAGTCGTCGTTCTAAAGAGATGTGCTCCGAGCTGGCTCCAGTTCTCTCCAAGATCTACAACTACTGCCTCGTTGCTTCTTGCTTTCCAGCTTCTTGGAAGTCCTCCTCTGTAATTCCTGTTTTTAAGAACTTTGTAAAACCTTTTTAAAAACTTTGTACTTTTGAGTTAATATTAATAGGAACGTATTGTATCTCGTAAGTTTGATTCTAGAGATTATTGGCGGATTTTCAAAATGTGTTGAAAAACAGCAAATCATCAATCCCCTCCTCTATTCAATCAATTCGAAGTCCTGATATCAATAGCAGATAAGGTTGAATGCTTTGCTCGAAATTCTCTTCCACCTCAACACGCGACTCATTTGAAGTTACCTAATTTCTCCGCTAGAATTGAGGCTCCACTGAATGATGTGGATATAAGCATGTCATTGGTCTTAGACATCATTTCTAAATTAGACTCCCATAAGGCAAGTGGAGGTGACAGGATCCCAGTCGTCGTTCTAAAGAGATGTGCTCCCGAGCTGGCTCCAGTTCTCTCCAAGATCTACAACTACTGCCTCGTTGCTTCTTGCTTTCCAGCTTCTTGGAAGTCCTCCTCTGTAATTCCTGTTTTTAAGAACTTTGTAAAACCTTTTTAAAAACTTTGTACTTTGAGTTAATATTAATAGGAACGTATTGTATCTCGTAAGTTTGATTCTAGAGATTATTGGCGGCTTTTCAAAATGTGCTGAAAAACAGCAAATCATCAATCCCTCCTCTATTCAATCAATTCGAAGTCCTGATATCAATAGCAGATAAGGTTGAATGCTTTGCTCGGAAATTCTCTTCCACCTCAACACGCGACTCATTTGAAGTACCTAATTTCTCCGCTAGAATTGAGGCTCCACTGAATGATGTGGATATAAGCTTGTCATTGGTCTTAGACATCATTTCTAAATTAGACTCCCATAAGGCAAGTGGAGGTGACAGGATCCCAGTCGTCGTTCTAAAGAGATGTGCTCCCGAGCTGGCTCCAGTTCTCTCCAAGATCTACAACTACTGCCTCGTTGCTTCTTGCTTTCCAGCTTCTTGGAAGTCCTCCTCTGTAATTCCTGTTTTTAAGAACTTTGTAAAACCTTTTTTAAAAACTTTGTACTTTGAGTTAATATTAATAGGAACGTATTGTATCTCGTAAGTTTGATTCTAGAGATTATTGGCGGCTTTTCAAAAATGTGCTGAAAAACAGCAAATCATCAATCCCTCCTCTATTCAATCAATTCGAAGTCCTGATATCAATAGCAGATAAGGTTGAATGCTTTGCTCGGAAATTCTCTTCCACCTCAACACGCGACTCATTTGAAGTACCTAATTTCTCCGCTAGAATTGAGGCTCCACTGAATGATGTGGATATAAACATTGTCATTGGTCTTAGACATCATTTCTAAATTAGACTCCCATAAGGCAAGTGGAGGTGACAGGATCCCAAAAAACTCGTCGTTCTAAAGAGATGTGCTCCTGAGCTGGCTCCAGTTCTCTCCAAAATCTACAACTACTGCCTCGTTGCTTCTTGCTTTCCAGCTTTTTGAAGTCCTCCTCTGTAATTCCTGTTTTAAGAACTTTGGAAAAACTTTTAAAAATGTGCTTTGTACTTTGAGTTATATGTCTCTTAGGAACGTTTTGTATCTCGTAAGTTTGATTCTAGAGATTATTGGCGGCTTTTTCAAAATGTGTTGAAAAAAAACAGCAAATCATCAATCCCCCTCTATTCAATCAATTCAAGTCCTGATATCAATAGCAGATAAGGTTGAATGCTTTGCTCGAAATTCTCTTCCACCTCAACACGCGACTCATTTGATGTACCTAATTTCTCCGCTAGAATTGAGGCTCCACTGAATGATGTGGATATAAGCTTCATTGGTCTTAGACATCATTTCTAAATTAGACTCCCATAAGGCAAGTGGAGGTGACAGGATCCCAGTCGTCGTTCTAAAGAGATGTGCTCCCGAGCTGGCTCCAGTTCTCTCCAAAATCTACAACTACTGCCTCGTTGCTTCTTGCTTTCCAGCTTCTTGGAAGTCCTCCTCTGTAATTCCTGTTTTTAAGAACTTTGTAAAACCTTTTTTAAAAACTTTGTACTTTGAGTTAATATTAATAGGAACGTATTGTATCTCGTAAGTTTGATTCTAGAGATTATTGGCGGCTTTTCAAAAATGTGCTGAAAAACAGCAAATCATCAATCCCTCCTCTATTCAATCAATTCGAAGTCCTGATATCAATAGCAGATAAGGTTGAATGCTTTGCTCGGAAATTCTCTTCCACCTCAACACGCGACTCATTTGAAGTACCTAATTTCTCCGCTAGAATTGAGGCTCCACTGAATGATGTGGATATAAGCTTGTCATTGGTCTTAGACATCATTTCTAAATTAGACTCCCATAAGGCAAGTGGAGGTGACAGGATCCCAGTCGTCGTTCTAAAGAGATGTGCTCCCGAGCTGGCTCCAGTTCTCTCCAAAATCTACAACTACTGCCTCGTTGCTTCTTGCTTTCCAGCTTCTTGGAAGTCCTCCTCTGTAATTCCTGTTTTTTAAGAACTTTGTAAAACCTTTTTAAAAAACTTTGTACTTTGAGTTAATATTAATAGGAACGTATTGTATCTCGTAAGTTTGATTCTAGAGATTATTGGCGGCTTTTTCAAAATGTGCTGAAAAACAGCAAATCATCAATCCCTCCTCTATTCAATCAATTCGAAGTCCTGATATCAATAGCAGATAAGGTTGAATGCTTTGCTCGGAAATTCTCTTCCACCTCAACACGCGACTCATTTGAAGTACCTAATTTCTCCGCTAGAATTGAGGCTCCACTGAATGATGTGGATATAAGCTTGTCATTGGTCTTAGACATCATTTCTAAATTAGACTCCCATAAGGCAAGTGGAGGTGACAGGATCCCAGTCGTCGTTCTAAAGAGATGTGCTCCCGAGCTGGCTCCAGTTCTCTCCAAGATCTACAACTACTGCCTCGTTGCTTCTTGCTTTCCAGCTTCTTGGAAGTCCTCCTCTGTAATTCCTGTTTTTTAAGAACTTTGTAAAACCTTTTTTTTTTTTTTTTCTTTGTACTTTGAGTTAATATTAATAGGAACGTATTGTATCTCGTAAGTTTGATTCTAGAATTATTGGCGGATTTTTCAAAAATGTGCTTGAAAAACAGCAAATCATCAATCCCTCCTCTATTCAATCAATTCAAAGTCCTGATATCAATAGCAGATAAGGTTGAATGCTTTGCTCGAAATTCTCTTCCACCTCAACACGCGACTCATTTGAATTACCTAATTTCTCCGCTAGAATTGAGGCTCCACTGAATGATGTGGATATAAGCTTGTCATTGGTCTTAGACATCATTTCTAAATTAGACTCCCCATAAGGCAAGTGGAGGTGACAGGATCCCAGTCGTCGTTCTAAAGAGATGTGCTCCCGAGCTGGCTCCAGTTCTCCAAGATCTACAACTACTGCCTCGTTGCTTCTTGCTTTCCAGCTTCTTGAAGTCCTCCTCTGTAATTCCTGTTTTTAAGAACTTTGTAAAACCTTTTTAAAAAACTTTGTACTTTGAGTTAATATTAATAGGAACGTATTGTATCTCGTAAGTTTGATTCTAGAGATTATTGGCGGCTTTTCAAAATGTGTTGAAAAACAGCAAATCATCAATCCCTCCTCTATTCAATCAATTCGAAGTCCTGATATCAATAGCAGATAAGGTTGAATGCTTTGCTCGGAAATTCTCTTCCACCTCAACACGCGACTCATTTGAAGTTCCTAATTTCTCCGCTAGAATTGAGGCTCCACTGAATGATGTGGATATAAGCTTGTCATTAGTCTTAGACATCATTTCTAAATTAGACTCCCATAAGGCAAGTGGAGGTGACAAGATCCCAGTCGTCGTTCTAAAGAAATGTGCTCCCGAGCTGGCTCCAGTTCTCTCCAAGATCTACAACCACTGCCTCGTTGCTTCTTGCTTTCCAGCTTGTTGGAAGTCCTCCTCTCTAGTTCCTGCTTTTAAGAACTCTGGAGGAACTTGTAACCCCTCTAGCTATCGCCCTATAAGTCTCTTACCACTTTTCGTCAAAGTATTCTAGGCTTTAATCAATGCTGAAGTGGTTAGGCATCTTACATCTTACGACCTACTCTCGTTCCGTTTTGCCATGTCTACGGCCATAATTGTATATGTATATCAAGCTCTTGATAATAACAGCGAAGATCGAGCTGTGGCTCTTAAAATCTCGAAGGCGTTTGACAGGATTTAGCACGCTAGTCTGCTACGTAAGCTCGAGGGCTACGGTGTTCTTGGGTGTTTGTTTGATTTAAACCAATGATTCCTATCAAATCCTGAAATGAAGGTCGTTTTGAAAAGGCTCGCTTCCGGACGTGAGTGTGCTCCAAGTTTCTATCTTGCGTCCAACGCTCTTTCTGATCTTTATCAATGATATTCCTGATGCCATCATTTCCCAAGTAGGTATATGTACAGATGACACTACCATTTACACCTGTCTCAATAGAAAATCCGTCAGAGATGACAAAGTTAACCTGAAAGCCGCGCTTGAAAAAAAAACATCCAGTCTGTGTCGTTAACTGGGACAGAAAATGTCTCGTAAATTTTAATGCCTCCAAAACGAAGCCACTCTCATTTAACCCCCATAGAAAAATCGCCCACCATCAGCATGGCTGTTACTATACTCATGAAGAGCAAAAAAATTCGCATTCTTGGCCTCACGTTTTCAAATGACTTGAATGTTAGACATTCTCATAACGGTTGTCCTCGAGTATAGAATCCAGAGGTTGGCAGTGAATATTTCGGAAACAGTAGGAAAGCGTACTTTAGGTTCGCAGTGGATATCACAGCAGAGTGTACTTCATCCTTCTCCTGGTCGCCTTTGGTCCTTCCGGTAGAGGAAACAAGATGGCCGCCTTTATACACGACGAATACAGTGTTGTGCGGCTTCTGATTGGTCAACCTTCTATTGGTCGACTATAAAGAGAAACAAGTCATTCTGACTCGCTCACTAGTTACATACGGTATATACACAAAAAACCGTAACAATTGAAGTGGAACTACTATGTCGAAACAATAGCTGCATCTACTGCAAGGAAAGTTAGCTCACTGTATCGTAGCAGAAGGTTTTTCTCCTCAAATTCCATCTTGCACATTTATAAATCTACCATTCGTTCATGCATTGAATACTGTTGATATATCTGATCAGGTGCTTCTGCTACTCATCTTGAGGTTCTCAACAAGACCCAAAGAAGGATATGCAATGTAATCAATCTTGACTTGGCATCTCGACTTCAGCGATTTTATCACCGACGTGACGTGGCTTCCCTCTTTTCTACAAATATTTTCATTGCAATAGGTCTGGTGAGCTTTTTTTTTTTCCTGGGGCACCGACTACGCGAATTTAAGCGTTCTGCTATACTGGGATCTAGGTCCCACCTTTTTATTATTGAATTAGCTAAATGTAACTGATACTTCTACTTTAACAGTTTCTTTTCTTGCACTTCCCGTCTGTGAAACTCTCTTCCACTTCTTTGTTTCCTTGATGACTAAAATCTTCAAAAATTTAAATGCAACGTCAATCGTCATCTTCTATATTTTTGAACCCCATTCTTCTTTTATCCTTTTCTCGATCCATCTATACCCAGTCTTTTCTCTCAGCTTCACTCTCTGTAACATCCTGCGTAATAATGGCATCCTTGTCTTGCTTGGGGGTGAAATGACTAACAAAAATGAAGAATCCGGTAATGAAACTGCAACAGACTTCCGATGACTCATTTATAGTCTTCTTGGCCTCACGTTTTCAAATGACTTGAAGTGGAATTACTATATCGAAACAATAGCTGCATCTACTGCAAGGAAAGTTACCTCACTGTATCGTAGCAGGTTTTTCTCGTCAGATTCCATCTTGCACTATTTCAGTCTGTTCATATGTATGTATGTATGTATCTATCTATTTCAGTCAGCTTGTAAGTATGTATCTAGCTATCTATATCAGTTCGTATCTATCAATCTATCTCTGTTCAAATCTATCTATCTATATATCTTTCATTTCCTCGTAAAAGAATGATGTCGATTGTTATTCGATGCTTTCATTGAAAAAATCCTTTCGTTCTTTTTTTTTGAACGACCGACCGAAGAAGGCATTTTGCCATGAAACATTTGATCGTCTGAAATGTAAACAGATAGTGAATTTAAAATCTGTGTTAAAACATTTTGTGTAAAAAGAGGATCCAAGTAAATGCGTTCAGTATTTTAGACGGCGGACCTCATTTCAAAGTTATTAAAAATTGCAAATCGCAAACTGACGTCAAAGCAGACATCATATCTATCTGTCTCAGTCAATCTATAAGTATGTATGTATGTATGTATGCATGTATTTATCTATGTCTGTCGTATCTATCTATTTCACTCCGTTCGTATCTATCTATCTATCTATCTATCTGTCTGTCTGTTTCAGTCAGTTTCTAAGTAGCTATCTATCTAGCTAGATAGCTATATCAGTTCGTATCAATCTATCTAAGCTTGTTCAAATCTATCTATCTATCTATCTATCTATCTATCTATCTATTTATCTGTCTGTCTGTCTGTTTGTTTTGTCAGTCTATATGTATGTTTGTATGTATGTATCTATTTTCTATGTTCTGTGACATCTATCTATCTATTTATCTATCTCAGTCTGTAGGTATATACGTATCTATCTATATCTGTTCGTATCTATCTTTCTATCCATCTATTTCAGTCTGTTCGTATCTATCAGTTTATCTCAGCCCGTTCATTATACAAAAACACACACACACACATATATATATATATATATATATATATATATATATATATATATATATAATTATAGATAACTAGACTCGTTTTGAAAAACCCTCGAATTTTTGATTTTTTGAAATAATCAAATCAATCTCGAGGGAAAAAAATAGTTTTTGAAAAAAGAAAGAGCTACAAAACATGAAAGTCTGTCGACAAAAATCGCACAGATGCAGGTCTTTTCCCAAAGAAAAACCCCGATACGAGTAAAAAACTAACTAACAAAAGTGTTTTGTCGGCATACAAACGTATTGAGCACCTAGTGAGAACAAACAAACCTACCTTTAGGTTTCACCTAAACGGATCGATCCGTTTAGGTGAAACCTAAATAGGTTTGTCTGGCTCACTATGTTATATATATATATATATATATATATATATATATATATATATATATATATTCCATTATGTTCGTTGAATAAAATTCTACAAATGAAAATATTTTCTACAAGTGAAAAATTAAGTTCTAACAAACCTTGCATAAATTTTTGGGAGATGAAAGATATCTTGTTGGAGATGAAAATTAAATTCTGTCAATATGTTATCTGCGATTGCCAATAGTTTTATCTGGGATGGAAACTTTTTATTCTTCATGTGTATGAGTAAAATAAACCTAATATTAATGGCTTTCGTACTCTGTCCGCGGCGTCTTTGCCGATTGATCGTGTGACCACGAGGGATTAAAGAGAGTACTCTTTTTTTGGTAAATATTTTTTTTATCTTCCATTTGACTGGTTCAAAATCTGGTTTTTCAAATCATGTGATGTCTCTGCTTTGACGTCAGCTTGCGATTTGCAATTTTTAATAACTTTGAAATGAGGTCCGCCGTCTAAAATACTGAACGCATTTTATTCCTCTTTTTTTCAAAACATTTTTTAACACAGATTTTAAATTCACTATCTGTTTACATTTAAGACGATCAAATGTTTCATGGCAAAATGCCTTCTTCGGTCGGTCGTTTAAAAAAAAAGAACGAAAGGATTTTTTCAATGAAAGCATCGAATAACAATCGACATCATTCTTTTACGAGGAAATGAAATATATAGACGACACCTATATAGTCATCCCTACTATTTAACCTATAGATGGGAGTCGGAAAGAAGAGATGGATCCATGCCTTTTACAAGGGCATTAGTGTGGCTGTGACTCGCTCAGAATATGAATTACTAATTAATTCTTTGTATAATAACCACT